GTCTTGCACTTTGCAAGACCAAGACCAAGGCCGCCTAACTGTTGCAAGACCAAGACCATGACTGGTAAAAAAAATCGATTTTATGAATAAAAGTTAAGGCAAAATAGTTCCTAATATTTGACAATTTAGTTACTATGTGTAAATAATTTTCATAACCAATATACTTTTGAATTTAACTCTTCAAATTATTCATTTGGACTTAGTTAGGTTCCTCCTATCTAAAAAATTACAGTAATATCTCTATAGTAATAAGCTAATAAGTAACAGCAATGCTGTTGGGAGACTCTTGCGCAAGACCAATACCATGACCAAGACTGAGTTTGCAATACTAAAACTCGTCTCGGTCTCGCATTTGGACAACACTAATCACCGGACCGCTGTCCATAACTGGTGCGTTCAAGCTACTTGTGCATAGTAAAATTATTGACTTCTAATTAAAACATAGATAAATCATAGCTGTCTAGTGATTATCATGGATGACAAATAATCAGAAATATCAGTCATTTATTAATCGTATGAGCCGATGTTTCGAACTATGTTTGTGGTGATCGTGAAGACAAGTATATTCTGTATTCTGTACTTTATATTCTTGCTGAAGGTTAAGAATATATTTGTGCCCACAATCGAAAATTTTCATTTGCGCTTACGTTATGGACAACAAGGAAGAAATTTGTTTGCATGTCTGTCTGTAGTCAAACCCATGTGACAGCCTTCTAACCTAAATTAGATCATGATGAAATTTTCATAGCTTGTATAGGTTGGTACCTAGAAGTTCTCATATAGATTTCATCAAACTCCATCCACTATTTCCGAATACATGAATGTACGGCTAAACATAAAAAATGACTGATTTAATTAGACTCAAAGCTGTAGGGAAGTTAGGGATCAGTGAAGACATTGTCTAATATCAATTTCATCCCCTATTTTCGCTTACAGATGAACAATGATATTTTCCTCTTTAAGCCTATATTTCAAAATTGCTCATTCTATTTGGCTTAATGTTGAAGGAAACAATGTACAAATGGTCTGAAATCAATTCCCTTTAAAAAAAAAATAATAATTTCTGTGAAATGAGGTAGGTAGAAAGAATTTGATAAGATTATAATGTTTTGTGAAATTTATTGTGATTTATTTTACCTCTCTTTATTGGTTTATTCTATTCAGTTTAAACAAAAATATATTAGTGAAGTGTTTGCTTATAGAATTATTTTTTTACCTAACCAAAAAACATTGTGAGAAATATACGTATATTTACAAGGTAGACGTTTTTAAAAATATGTCGATAACTTCACGAAGCAAATCTTTTTAAATTTTTTAATTGCATATATTTAATATTTATTGTCTAAAACAGTTTATTTTGCTATAATATAATACTGTAAATATGAAAAATATAGATAATTAATTAATTAAGCTTGATGGAGTCCAGTTATATTGATACTTTCTCCGAACTTTATATTTCAGCTTTTTTAGTTAATAAGGGAGATCCCCCATCCAATTCCTTTTATAAGTTTTCAGTATATGTTGTTTAGTATACAAGCTTATAGCAAGCTTAAAGGGTACCAATTTTTCAAAATGCAATTTTTTCAGCTCCACTAAACCATCGAATTCCTCTCTTATCCAATCCATGCAATCCGAAATCCTTCGTAAAATCTTCAATACTCCTTACTTTGTCACAAATAAAATCATCCATAACTTACCATATCTTTTCGATTTATCCTAATCCAGATACCTATTCTTCCATAACACACTTCAAAACCATTCGAACCCTCTCGTTTCAAACCTTGCTTCCTCTTTGATTCCCGATAACCCCTTAAGCGTCTGAAAAGCAGATGGCCTCGTGATCTACTTAGGGAAATATATTATTAGAATGCTATCAATGGGTAGTTTCTCAACAAGCGTTTTCATCTGATTGTATCATTCCTGTGTACACATTTTTAGAAATACTAGATGTATTTTTAATTTAATACAGTAGTTAATATCACGAATAAATAAATTTTAAAAAATTCATTTACAGGTTGTTCTTTTTCTACTCATTGTTTCAAAATCTTAAAATATGAAGAACTAACCTTTCGCTTATATAATTTAAAAAATTGTTGTATTTGTTTGTTCCTATTTTATTCTAAATATTTTCTTCCGGACTAGACCCATAAACGATCGACATTCTTTTCAATTCGGTTAACATGATACAGGTTTTAAAAGAATTAATTTCTAGTTAATTTTCGTTGGATAATTTTCTTCAATTATTTAATTGCAGCATGTAGGAAGATGACTCGCTGACATATGACCCTACCTATTGACATTAATAATTAATTTTAAAACTATAACAAATTCTAATGGCGGATCTACCAGAAGTCAAGACTATTCGAATACGACAGTAGATTTATGATTACATAATGAACTAAACACTGATAATAATAGCTTTTATTTTATTTCCATTTAAAAAATTGAGCTTATTAAACTCGCCAATTAGTGATACAGGATACTGACAATTCCCATAACCCAAACGACCTATAGTCCGTGGTACAGAACCCTTTTTATCAAATTACCTAGTCCTGTCATAAATATTGTTACAATATATACAGATTTCAAAAGAAAATTTTTTTTTTTCAAAAACTTTGTTATAAAATAAAATGTATATCTACAAAGAGTAAAACAAAAAAGGGATGCCAGACTCGATCAAACGCCTGCTCAACGTCGAGGAAGACTCCCGTGCAGTACATACCGCGCTCCAATGCAGAGGAGACCACATCAACCACACGGTGACATTGTTGGATAGTGGAATGCGATGTGCGGAATCCAAATTGGTGATCAGGGATAATGTGATTAGAGTCTAGGATGAGATACAGGCGTTTTAAGATGAGTTTTTCCAGGATTTTGCCCATGATAAGTAATAGAGAAATAGGGCGGTAAGAGGATGGGTGTTCGGGTGTTTTTTTTAGATTTGTGTAACATTTTGACAATAGATAGTTTCCAAGGATCAGGGAAATATATGGATCGGAGCACTGCTTAGAAATATATTTTCGAAAACACCTGATTTGTATGGAACTTTGAAAATCCCCTCCCATATTTTAAGTAAGTGGCATTAATTACTTGCTGATGCAATGACTTATTTTAATAATAGCTTAGTCGTTACAAAGAAAACACTTTTAAAATTTTAACAATATAACTCAAATAAATTGAAAAATATAAATAATAAAACCATACTATTATTTATAAAACTAAATAGAATCAAGAAGTGTTGTTATTACAATATAATCTCTGATCACAGATATCAACATTAACTTCCACCTTTTTTAATCAATGAGTAATTTTATACCTCGATAATTTGTGAAATATTATAAATTTCTCTGTTTTCCTGAAATCGAATAAAAGTTCAAATTTATAAGAATTAACAAGCCTTTAAATATTATCATTAAAAAATAAATAAATTGTTGATAACGTAAAAAAAAAGCGCATTAGTTTGCATGTATTTTCAAAATGCAAAATGACTGTGATCAAAAAAGAGGAAAGCTTGTAATCTCTTTCTTTTTTTTTCGATAACTAATTTTAGCTATCACAGTTCAGAAGGTCGTTGAATGATAGCCGTGCTCTGAAAATATGCTAATGTTGTTAAAGGCTATCGAAACATAGCTAAAATAGGATTATTTAAAAAAATATATGTTTAAGGAAAACAAATAATGTTTTAAATGGGAGGGGAGGTCGAACCGATAATGAAAATATTAAGGTGTACTCTTTATGTAAAGTGTATTCCTTATCTACCAGAAATGTTTAGGGAAGAATTTGGTGAGACGATTTTGTGTAAAAGTGGCTTTAGTCCGTAGTACTTTCAATTGACAACAAATTACTGATGTTCTTGGTGTGAGATGTTCTTGTATAACAACAAATTACTGATATACAAGAACATCTCATAACCTATTTGGTCCTACGGACTTGAACTTTGGGGGACAGCTAAATTTTCTAACATCAAACACATCCAATCCTTTCAGTACAAAATAATGCGAATAATAGTCGATGCTCCGTTCTATGTAACTAACAAAACACTACACATTGACCTTAATATCCCATTTGTCCTCGACCTTATCCCTAAAACATTTTCCAAATTCCATCAGAACCTTATAAACCATCCAAATCCCCTAGCACAATCCCTATCTAGTTCTACTCATCCCTACAATCCTCCTGGAAGGTTGAAGCGGCAGTGTTCCAGAGATCTATTGTAGTATATTTTGTTTTCTGGCAATGGCCAGATTCTCCATTCAAGACATTAGAGTATGTGGCTAAAGCGCTCTCACTCAAACTCCACTGGCTTTTGTACTAGTGACGCCGTTGAGAGAGTTGCGCAGGGATCTCTTGAAGTCCTGTTTTTCTTTCTATAGTTGGAGGGAAAGCCTGGCTTGGGGTTCCCTGCCTGATTGTATATAGGTATGACTGTGTTTTTATGTTTTTAATTTACTTATCTTTAGGTTATTTTATTTTTTATTGTACATAGTTTTTTATTATTATTTTACTTTTGTTGATTCTATATTTTCTGTATATATGGTATAAATGTGTTATATCATATATCACTATAATTATTGTCCACGTGACTGTTCTATTTCTAAATAAATAAAAAAATAAAAAAAAGTCCCTGATACAGACCCACATTTTTTTTTTTTCAAATTATTAACATCTGCCTAAAACTTCGTACGTAGTCATAGTAACCTACAAATATTTTATTTCTGAAAATTCTCGGAATCAGGATAATTTTCATTCTGGAGATTCATTTTCAATCTGGAGACCGGCAAACTTTGTCTATTTAATTATGTACTAAAAAATCATTAATACCCTTTTGCTTTTCACTTGGATCGTAAGATAATTTGGTCACAAAATCGAGAAAATATGTGGCCTACAAATATATTGGAGGGGAGGGGAGGGCAGATTATATATTTTTAATGCTTATTTTCATGTTTGTTACTATAAAAATATTGACAGTTCGTTTTTTTTTTTTTTAAATGTTTATTTAGGGTAGTAGAAAAGAAAACAGCAATAGTATGGAATGACAATGGAACAGTGACTTATAAAGTCAAAAGGTTTTGGATGTTTGATCCAGACAAGTCTAAAGGATCTCTTGAAGATGAAATAGTAATGTTGAATTCAGTTGCACTGGTAAGTTTCTCATTCTATTTAGTGACAACAAATGTTTATTGTAACTCTAAAACTTTTCTGATTTTTTTTTTAATCGCCTTTTAGGCTACACGGAATTTTCCCGAGCCGGGGGGTGAAGGCGGGGAATTTAAAATCCCCTCCGGCACTGGGACGCGAACTCGTACTTTTTAAATCTTCTGAAATCTGTAATCCGGTTGCCAGGCAACTCGCGGTGCTGTGCATACGCTTTAGCCCATTCGGCCACACCGCCCCCCAAAAATTCCAATCCTTTAACTCTTACCTTACCTCCCCCTCCGCTTACAACAATTCCCTCTGGAATATCACCAAAAAAAATTCTAAAATCCCAAAATATTTCCCATCCCCTCCGTCGAGGCGATGGCTCCTGGGCGGCGTCTGATGAAGACAAAGCTGAGGTATTCGCCAAACACCTCTCCTGTACATTTACTCCTCATCCTGAATCCCATTCCATCCATACTACAAAAGCAGAAAAATTCCTCTCCTCACCAATTCCACTTTCCCTACCACCAGAAGCAGTTCATCCTTCTGAGGTCAAATATCATTTAAAAAAATTATCCTCCCACAAATCTCCTGGATACGACCTTCTAACCCCACAGATCCTTCATCAACTACCACCCAAAGCGATTATGTTCCTCACATGTATATACAACTGAATCCTAAGAACTACCCATTTTCCTATCTTATGGAAACATTCCACCATCGTCCTTTTCCTGAAACCAGCCAAACCTTCCAATAATCATCATATAGACCAATCAGCCTACTCCCAATCCTTTCAAAAATATTTGAAAAAATCCTATGAAAAAGAATCCTACACATAATAGAATCACAAAACCTTCCTACCGATCAATTCGGATTTCATTTCCAGCATTCCACCGTTCAACAAGGACTCCGAATTGTTGACCACATATCCTCAGCCTTAGAAAGAAAGAGTATTGCTCAGGAGCATTCCTGGACATTGAGCAAGCTTTCGAACGCGTATGGCACACCGGACTACTTTTCAAGCTCAAAACCCACCTATCCCAGTCCTTATATCTGATCCTACCTCTCTGACCGCTCCTTTCGAGTTCGTTGTGGTACAGAATTCTCCAACTGCCATTCAATTGAGGCGGGAATTCCTCTAGGCAGCGTCTTGGGTCCCCTACATAGGCAGCGTCCTCTACATTCTGTTTACCTCTGATATTCCTGCTCATCCCGAAAGCCTCCTTGCAACATTCGCTGATGACACAGCCATCCTATCTTCCAATCCAGATCCTAAACAGCATCCTAAAACCTACAAACTCATCTTTCTCTTATTAAACATTGGTGGAATAAGTGGCGCATCCAAGTAAATGAATCCAAATCCAAAGACATCACTTTTACCCTTCGGCGCAAGTCCTGTCCACCAGTCTATTTCAAATCCATACCACCTCCTCTCTCAGACACAGTCCGGTATCTTGGCTTTCTTCTAGGTAAAAAACTAACGAGGAACCCACTTACCAGACTTAAAAGACAACAACTAAACAGACAATTCGGACAGCTATATAGACTAATGAATAGAAAATCTCAACTCTCAGTCGACAAAAACTACTAATCTACAAGGCGATCCTGAAACCTATCTGGACCTACGGAGCTGCGGGGGTCAACAAAACCTTTTTAACATTAAGAGCATTCAATCCTTTCAGTCTAAAGTCCTCTGAACAATAGTCAATGCTCCCTTCTGTGTATCCAATAAAACCCTCCATAATGACCTTCATATCCCATTTGTTATTGATCTAATGATCCCAGACAAATTTTCCAAATTTCACCAGAAACCCACTCATCATCCAATTCCTGTTGCACAATCCCTATCTAGCTCCAGCCATCCCTACAATCCTCCCTGGAGGTTAAAACGGCAGTGGTCCCGCGACCTTTTGTAAATATGTATATATATGTATATATACTGGCAATGGTCAGATTCTCCACTCAAGTCCTGAGCGCCTGTTGCTCTAGTACCTTCCACCAATCTCTACTGGTTTGCAATACCAGTGACGCGGCTGGGAGAGAAGCACTGGGATCTCCTAGGGTCCTGTCTTGGCTTCCACATTTGGCGGACAAAGCATGAATCAGAATCCCCTGGGTGAATGTGAATATTTTATATAGGTGTGAATGTGCTTTATTTATTTCAATTTTTTTTTTCTACCTATGTATGTTAATTTTCTTATTTTACTTTCTACAACTCTTTTTCTTTTATCTCTATTTTAGTTATCATTTGTATGTATATATTCTGTGAATGTTTAATGTAGCCCTAATGTTAATGCCCTCCAATGCGGCAGAATGTATTAATGTTCAAATAATAAAAGAAAAAAAAATATCACAAGTAAATAAAATCTAGATGTTAAGTAGGTGAATATAATTCATTATTCAAGAAAGGGTAATCTGATATTCACTTTCAATAATGCTTATTCATTTATTTATTCATTAATGTAAGTAGATTATTTTGTAAAATTTTGTGGAAATATATATTACTTTTGAAAAAAAAAAAATACTGTTCTCTATTATTTGCTAAATATTACTTGATTGAGGTACCAACTATCACAGAAATAATAGGAATCAGGGATGTTTAGAAGGGATTGGGATGGCATAAATCATGCCATCTAACTTTTTGAGGAGAGTGAATTTTAATAGAATTATTGATTTTTGGAGGAAGCCATATCCTTGTGAGGTTACAATTAGGAGGAACACTGAAACCAAATAATAATAGAAACAAAACTGTAACTGAGGACAACAAGTGTAACTGGGTGTAAAATACAATTATTATAATTCTACATTCACTTGCACCATATTTAAGAAGAAGAGAGCCATACAATTTCTTGGGGTGCATGTTGGGGAGGGGAGGCGTGAGGATGAGCACTTCTGATTGAACTGATTTGCTCAATTTTAGTACATATTTAACTACATAAAAAAGAAATCATTTTTAATTTTTGAGAGTTGAATCCATTTAACTTAACATTTTTTATATTTTAACAAGATAATGTGCTTCATATAATTCAATAAATTTTTTGTCTAACTCATTCTTATTATGTATCAATAATAATGATAATAATACTTTATTAATTCTGGGACAAATCCCTTTAGAATAATACAAAAATGTGGACTAAGAGCCTTAGAAATACATAAATAATATTAAAAAAATAAATAAACAGTCATAATTTAATCAATTAATAAATTTAAAAAAATAAAAAACATAAGTAAAAATAATTAAGAATGATCTAATAATTTATATAAATATTTACAGTAATATCTATTTACAATTTTATGGGGAATGGATGGATAAAAAATGTTTAAACAGGCGGGATTTAAAGGCAGGGAGGGTATTAGAGCGAGAGATGGGGGAAGGGATGGAGTTCCACTGGGATGAGGATTGGATAATGAATGATCTGTCAAAAGCAGCGGTTTGGTGGGCCGTAGTATATAGAAATATAGATCTGAAGACCTAGAGAGGTTACTGCAGGAATGAATTGAGGATTTGAATTGAAGGAGCTCGGAGACGTATGAAGGACGTCGAGATTGGATTGCTTGAAAGAGGAAGGATGCCAGGAAATATTTACGATGGTAGGAAGGATAAAGCACCTATATGATAAGAAAGAAATATATGTAGCACCTAATTAACATATAGATTTTATTTACTCGTGATCCCATCATTTCTCAATTTTACAATGTTACAGGAATTAAACAATACATGTCTTAATCAATGGTATAATATTTCACAGTTATCATATTGACATTGTTTAGGTTCAATGGATATAACCTTCAAAATGAATATTTTACAAGCAAAGCAAAAAAAAAAGTTTAACTGTTTTCAACACATTTATACCATCTAAAATTTATGCCCACTGCTATAGAATTGGGGTGGGCAATTGAAACAAACCTATTTTAACAAAAAGAAATCATTTTTAATTTTTGAGAGTTGAATCCATTCAACTAAATATTGTCAATATTTTAGGAAGATTGTGTGCTTCATATAATTCAATTAATGGTTTTTCTAACTCTTTCTTGTTATATAGCACCTAATTACAATCTGGGTTTTATTTACTCGTGATCCCATCATTTTTCAATCTTAAAATGATACAGGAATCAAACAATACATATCTTAATCAATGGTATAATATTTCACAATTATCATATTGACATTAATTAGGTTCAATGGATATAATCCTCAAAATGAATATTTTACAAGTTAAGAAAAAAAAAATGTGTTTACCATATTTATCACACCTAAAATTTACGTCCATTGCTATAGAATTTGGAGTCAGTCAAAACAAACATTTAAAAAAAAAAATCATTTTTAATTTTAGAGAGATGAATCCATTCAACTATATATTGCCAATATTTGAGTAAGATAATGATCTTCATACAATTCAATAAATGTTTTATCTAATACTTTCTTATTATGTACTACCTAATTAACATATAGATTTTATTTACTCATGATCGATCTCATCATTTCTCAGTCTTAAAATATTACAGGATTTAAACAATACATGTCTGAATAACATACATTAAAAAAATATATCTAAGATGAAGTGTTCTGAGATTTTCAAAATTCTATCCAAAAATTTAGACAGAAGTAATTATAAATAATCTAATTTCATCTTTTTCTCACAGAGTGCTGCAAGGACTATACGGCATAAGAGTTTTTTTGTGAAAAAAGGCTTGAGTTCTACTATGTGGTCAATTCGTCAAGAAATCAGCATAAAACATACTGTTGGTGATATACTGTTTTTTGGGTACGAGGATAAATTATTGGATATTGGAAGATCTTTTCCTGCCTTTGCTGATGTAGAAATTCCTCCTTATGATAAGTTCGCATGGTTTTATAATGTAAGTTTTATTATATTTAATATTTTTATTTTTTTTTTTTATTCAAATACTTATATTTTAACTGTGGAATTCCAATTAATTGTCCTTAAAACTGAATCAGTGGTACAATGTTTTTAATTATCGTATTGATGATGTTCAAATGTCGTAAAATAAAAATAATAAATAAAAAGAACTACATAATTATTTTAGAATTTAAATAGTTAATAGGTCACACATTCATGATAAACGTAATGATATAATAAAATATCCTTATTTTATTTTCCATAGCAAAATAGTTGTTACTCTGTCATAATAAAAATCACTTTTTGGTTTAATAACAGTACAACTTAATATCTGAAAAATTAATAATTTTTACATTGATATTAGGTTTAACTTTTTGTTATCTAATTGATACATATTATAATCTCAGTAAAATAATTCGTATGAATCTTGATTCATAAAATTATTACAGAAAGTGCATCATAGATAGAATAATGAAGAAGCATTTACGTTCGTTTGTAATAAATTTAGAGATTGTCTGTAGTGGCTTTCTTCTGTTTCTCTTAAATTACTTCAATAGTTAATTATTAATATTTGTCACTCTTAGATTCCAATAATTAATTTATAATCAACTTCACTTTACATTCATTTCTTTTTCATTGTTTTATCTGTCAATAATAGAAATGTGTGTTTTTACAGTTCTTTTAACATCAAATGAGGGATTTTCAACCAGTTTAAATTTTATCTCACAAAGAACTACATTTTTATAGCCTGTTTTACATACCAAAATAAAATATTACTATCTCATTACATCATATCAAAAATAAATATTACCTATTCAACAAAAAGTGTGACAGACTTAAAAACAGAAAATTTAAACTTCCTGTTTTTCTATGTGGAATCAGACCATGGTTTATAAAACTTTTCACTAGTTCTTGTGATATGCTATCACTTCTTTCAATATTTCCCTTACAAGATACCCTGTTTAAAACCAAAAGTTAAGAAAGTTAAATGCACCTAAAAACATTCTATGAGATCGATGTAAATGGTAAGAATGTATTGGAGTTTTAAATGCAAACTATGGAATGAAATAAAAAATATAGAAGATAGTACAAATAATTCTTATCTACCTTCAATTCTTACCATTTTTGCTGATTCATTGTTGAAAGTGAACCTAACAATCACTTAATTGTCTTCAACTCCTTATCACACAAGAAATTGCCATTGTTGGTGCCCTAATCCTACTTCCTCAGACCAACTTTCAAACTACCTTTCCTAACATCCTTATGATCAGAAAGTAACTATAATCAAAATTATGATCCTTTGTTGCATAACTATCTGAATAATGATTGTGAAAACTCCACAAACCTTTTAGTGATTTATTTGTTAAATTTTTATTTTTATTTAGTTTTAGAAAAGTGATTCTGAAGATGGTATGTTATTCTAATATTTTTTAATTTGGAAATAGATAGTATACAACCTAGTATTTGTTGAATTTTTAAATTTTAGAGAAAAAAAAAATATCTTTTCAGACTTCTTACATTTCATTTATTTATTTAAACTGACAATGTTCCGAGCCTAATATAGTCCATTTTAAAGTCCATGATCTTGAAAGAATGTTCAATGCACAAAAGAATTTTTTTTTTTTAATTCGACTTGAACATTGTTTATTAGTTCTGTGAAGGAATACTGATGTCTGTTTTTGAAACAGAAATTGGTAAAGGTCCTTATCAGAAGAAAATCTTATCATAAATACATGTTTTGAGGCAAATGAGTTGTCATTCAATTTATTGTGCATCTCACGTATGAAATCTAAAATCAGCCTTAACTGATATAATTAGACATGTTGCCAAAATTAAGGGTAAAAAAATTGTTGTTAAATTTTTATTTAATCAAATGTTTATTACAAAAAAATCGACTAATCATTGAACAGATCCAATGAAAGGTGAGTTTTAATTTCTTTATTTTTACGGAAGAATTTCCCCATTTCTATTTAATAGTGTAGGACACCTACTTTCTATTTGAATCCTGACCTGGGAAAAATTTCGAATGAATTATTATAAAATAAAAAAAAAACTAAGGTGTGTACTTTAGACCACACAATAGAAGTGAAAACATCAACAAGACGAGATTAATAATAAGAAATCTAAATTATAAATGATAGCTCATTATAAATAGGCTGAAAATTTCCCTCGCATACAATATGCAGGTCCGATTTTTAGTTTCGAAGATATTTTAATCCATATCTTCAATAAAACTCGTTATCATTTGGTTTTCGATATTATTTTTTCCTTTTCAGCTCTCTAACATGGCGTCGCGTTAAGATACAATTTTGAATAATAATACCTTGCAGAGAGGATGAAATGCTGAACAATTTCCTCAGTTACGGTATGCAGGCCCGATTTTTAGTTTTGGACATATTTTAATCCATATACAAAAACATTTCAAATGGCTCAATGTAATTCACTCTCCACAAAAAAAAAATCAAAACGCGCCTAAAAATAGTTTTCACTTCAAAAATATATGTTTGTTTTGTTTTTAAGAAAACAAAATAAATTATCAAATTGATTAGGTTCCTTTATGCTTTCACCTATGTAAAAGAATATAATAATAGGATTATTGTGTATTTGGTATACTTTATGTGTAAAAAATTGAAACAAAGATTTGATAATTAAGATACAATGTATTTTCAAAACATAAAATAATTGGTATTTTAAAATAATAATTAAAATATAGTTAGTCCAGCACTCTTTCAATCCAATAAATTAAATATAATCAAAATTTACAAATATGTGCTTCTAAGATTAGTCTGTTCATAAATGTGCTTAGTCACTTTTTGCAATAAACTAAAGTTATAGACAATTTATTTTTATTTACTTTAGTCTATTTTAATGTAAAATATTGCACAAAAAATGTTTTATTTTTTGTTACTTTAATAATATCTAAGAAATTATTCTTTCAGAGAAACGGTTCCGAAGATTTTGATGGCGTCTTCAACATGGATACAGGAGTAAATGATATATATTCGATTGGAAAATTACATAACTGGAATTTCAAAAACAGGACATCATACTATGAGTCAACATGTGCCTGTATCAATGGCTCTGCAGGCGAGCTTTTTCCTCCTGAAAGAACAAAGTCTAATATTGTTATGTTCTCAGCAGATTTGTGCAGGTAAATGATTTAGAGTAAATAACAATAATAACTTTTTTATTTGAAAGTTAGTACCCACTGGCAAATAGACCAATAATTCTATATAAAGTGAAGAAAAAATCTACAGTTAAAGCAGTCAATGATGAAAAAGCACAATTTATCAGTGATGATCAAGATTTGGTTGTAGTGAGACACTAGATTTATATTGGTAGTACAGTAGTGTCAAAAAAGTGAAAAAAATTAAAGATAAGGCACCAACAATGAATTAAGACCTCAAATACAAAGAAAAATTGCTACCATTGAAGATAAGATTAGCGAATAAAACTGAAGATCTATGTCGTCATATCGGAATAACAATAACAAGTTATTTTTAAAACCCAAAAAGTGTTCTATAAAAGTAGAAATGTAGATATACTAAATAATTGTTTCAAGTATTTGTATCACTTTGCTTGAGTAAACCAGAAGAAAATCAGAGTTTGTACCCACAATGAAAATTTCCGATTTGACTGGGAATGATGTAACTTCCACAGTGTAAAGGATGAAAAAGTTGAAGCTGCCATCAGGCCCTGATAATATAATTATTGGTTCAAATATTGAACTTTAGTTTGTAGTTTATTTACTTCATAAAAATAATAATGGTGATTCAGTCCAACTCTATGGCAAGATCTGTCAATTGGTTACAATAATAATATGTATATGAGATTTACAGAAACCTTTTTTATTTTTAGCAATATTAAATAATCAGGTGTTGTGGTAGAACAGCATTAAGAATGATATATAAATAATATAGTATACAATATAAGATTAAGTTATAGTTAAAATTATTATAGTCTTCATCAGGTAGGTATTCATTCAGGCCTACAAAGTGGGTTGAAACGTAGGAGTAATGATTAAAATACTATTTCAACAATTTAGTATTTATTTGATCGCACCCCTCGACCAACTCCTTCTCATATTAAATCACAGTCAACCATCTTTACACCAATAAGAATATATAGATAAGAAATACGATAAATAATATTAGATTAGGATATGGCAAATATATTAATGTAAGAATAAGATCTAATCAATTAATAATTAATAAGATCTAAATATAATTCAACATAATATAATACTATAATAATAGAAAATAATAAATTAAAAATACTAAAATTAATTTTAAAATACAGAGATAATTCATTCATTAATTATGAATATATGTATCACAATATTGAATATAGAATATTAGATTTTAATATAGAATAAAAGGATATGTACAGGTTACATGTTACACCCAAATACTCAATAATGTCCAAATTCTATCTGATGATTTCTGTTAGGAATCTCTCACACATTTCTTCCTCTCATAAAAGTCTGTTCATTTTTCTCTCTATGTTTCAGAGAGATCTTATTTGTGACTTTTAATATTTTAAAAATTGTATTTACAGATCTATCAACCTATCATTTTCAAACGAAGAAGAAATACATGGAATTAAAGCATTCAAGTATGTTGCTGACAAGTACACATTTGATAATGGAAGCTTAGACCCTAGCAACGAGTGCTTCTGTGATGGCCAATGCTCTCCTTCAGGTGTTACAAATGTTACCCGATGCCGTTACGGAGCTCCTGGATTCATCTCATTTCCACATTTTCATCTGGCAGATAATTTTTATACTGAACAAGTTAAAGGGTTGAAACCGATTGCTGACAAACATACGTTACATATCACCTTAGAACCAGTAAGTATATTAAGAGTTTGAAAGTTCTTAGCTGGTTATATTAATCGAATAAGTTGATGAAATTCATGTATTAATTACCATTTTGAAAATTTTGCAAATGTATCAGTAAATAAAATATTTTTAAATAAACAAACATTCAATGCTCTGTCTATACTAGTATAAAAAATTTGTATATTTATACAACAGCTTTTGTCTAGCTGTTAGAATTATCAAAATAAAATTATTTTGAATCAAATAAGATTTTAAACTAAAAGATTGATAATAAATTGCAAATTTAAAAATGGAGAATATATACATAAAAAAAAAAAAAAAAAATCCTATATCATTTAAACCCATTGAGGGTCTTGAATTCAGTATTTTATAATAAAGTACTGTTTCTTGGACAACAGTTATGTAAGAAAATGGTTTCACCAAGATCACACCTGACTGCCAGGTTTTTCCCTTAATTATTTATTTAATAAAGAGCACCCACTTTATAAATGTGCCCAAGAGGTGTCTCCCAATCCCAGGTTCAAGCCATGACTGGTAAAATAGAATAAATAATTACCTGCCACAGCCAGAGTAGAACCCAGGACCCATAGAATAGGAAAGCAGTGCCTTATTCACTAGGGTAGCCTGCTTCCAGGAAAATCCATACATATATGACAACAACAACAAATTTGTTATAATACATATTATCACGAAATATAACACAAAGTTCAAAAGATTAATGATTGAGATGAGGTGTATAAATAATAAATAAAAGTGTATGCCCAGTTGGTGCGAGTTACCTCCAGCAGACTAATGGGACTCATGTAATGGAGGTATTGATAAATTTCCTGAGAAATCCTGGCACTGTGATTTGAATTCTTCTAATAATAACATTGGCTCATAATGAAACCTTACCTATGTCACATTTTTTTTTTTTGTATTCAAAAATGAAATCTTTCAAGGTAAAGCTGAGAGTTTCAGTATTGTATGAATAAATATGACTTTTAGGCAAATGGGCCCTTCTTCTTCTTCTCTCACTATCTCCTGTGTGCTGCTAAGCGTGGAGTAGCTGCCTCTGCCCATCTTGTCCAACGGTCCCTGTCCTGTGTAAGTCTTCTCATCTCCGGCATGGTGCTTCCTCTCGCTGCTCCAATTCTCTCTATCAAGTCTGCATACATAAGCCTTGGCCTGCTTTGAGGTCGCCTTCCTCCCGGTCTTGCTTCTAGAAGCCACCTGGCCTTACGGTCATCTCCCATTCCATTGACATGACCATACCATTTCAACTGCCTTTCTTCAATCGTCTCTAGGACGGATCTAACTCCTAGCTCATCTCGCACCCTTTCATTCCTTATTCGATCTCGCCTGGTTTTTCCCAATCTCATTTCTGCAGAGACAATCTTGCTGGCATGGCGGTCCAAGAGTGTCCAGCTCTCCAATCCATAAAGCAGCACCAGGAGAAAAACTGATTTGAATAGCAGAATCTTCACTTTTCTGCTCAACTCCTGCTTTCCAATTAGTGTCATGGATATTTGGTAGTATATTCCATTGGCCTTTTGGACTCTATTCATGACCTCCTGGTCTATTCTTCCATCCCTGCCAATCATTGTTCCCAGGTAGCAGTAGGTATCGGTTTGCTCAAGGGTCTCTCCATTGCAAGTGATTCTAAGATCCTCGTTCCTTCGTCCAACACACATGACCCTGCTTTTGGAGGGATTGATCTGCATGCTTCTGAGTTGCAGTTCTTCTTGTCACTCATTCACAGCGACCTGGAGTGATTCAGCAGTATCCGCAACCAATACCACATCATCTGCATACAACAATGCCTGTGTCAACACTGGGGTCATATTCCAGTATCCTACTATTGCTCTGGGTGTCCTTCTTTTACAAAATTTCCAAATGGCATCCATGAAAATTGTGAACAATAGGGGGCGCAGGCTATCGCCCTGTTTAACTCCCCTAAAGAAATGGAATGACCTAGACTCAGTGCTGGCCAGCCTTATTACTCCCTTAGGGTCTTGGTACACTGACTTAATTGCACTAATAAGATTTTGTGGGATTCTCCTATCTTGCAATGCATCCCATATTTCCTGTCTAGGAACATTGTCGAAAGCCGCCCGTAAATCTAGAAAAGCTAGGTATACTGTTTTACCTCTATCCCATGCCTTCTCTACAATCATTCTCAGAGAGAAGATATGATCTTGTGTCTGCCTGCCGGGTCTAAAACCTGCTTGTTCCTCTTCCAGATCTTCTTGCACCAAGTTCCTTAATCTTTGTTCCAGGACTCTAGTGTATACTTTGTAAACCACCGATGACAGACATATGGGTCGGTAATTATCGCATACACTTTGGCTTCCCTTCTTATGGATTGGGATAATGATGTTGTTTTCCCATTCTGTGGGTATCCTTTTGAGATCCCAAACTTTTTGGAATAGTGTTTGGAGACACTTGATCAACTCGTTTCCTCCATATTTTATGAATTCGGGTGCAACCCCATCTGGCCCAGCTGCTTTTCCCATCTTTACTTTAGCAATAGCTGCTTCGACTTCCTCCTCTTCTATGGTGTCATCCATGTCGGAGACTTCTGGTTCGGTTCTTCTGCATCTTCTACGGCAATCTCGAAAATTTCGTCGCCTTTCTTCCATTCTGAATTTTTCTTGGAAGTATTTCCTCCAAACCTCCAATATGTCCCTATCTTCTGTCACCAGCATGCCATGCTCATCCTTTACACTTCTCACAGGCTTTGCATTTTTGTTCCTTAGTACTCTTGTGATGTGCCAGAATTTCCTTATATTTTCTTTGTAGTTTTTATCCAGTTCTATGCCGAATTCCTCCCAAGATTTTCTCTTCTCTTCCTTAACTATTCTCTTAGACTGGTTCCTTTTCTCTACGTACAATGCCCAGTCTCCTGGCGACTTGCTTCTACAGTACTGTTTCCAGGCCTCTTTCTTTGCAGTTATGACTCGTTTCACATCCTCGCTCCACCACCTAGTTTTCTTAGTAGTAGGTCTTATTTGCTGTAAACCACATACTTCCTCGGCTGTCTTGAGTATACTAAATTTGATTTGCACCCAAATAGTGTCAAGATCTGCGTCCCCATTAACTTCTTGGATTTGGATTTGAAGGCGACTTGTATAAGTCAGTTCTTTTTCCTCTTCTCTTAGCTTGTTGACAGCTATCCTATTATATGATTTGGCGATCTGTTTTCGCGGTTTTATTATCTTGGAGTCAGCAACCAATAGCCTGTGATCCGTATTCAATTCTGCTCCTTGTATAACTTTAATGTCTGTGAAGTACTGTCTGAGTTCCCTATCGATGATAAAATAATCTATGATGCTATTTCTGGTAGCTCTTCCATTACCTCTTTCAAATGTTATTTTATGGATCGTCTTATGGTTATACCATGAGTTTCCAATAAGCATATTATTTTCTACGCAGAACTCAATTAGCCTGATTCCATTGTTATTGATGTAATCTTCACCTCCCCATATACCCATCGTTCCAAACGCTGCTTGATAATCCCGACCTGTTCTTGCATTTAAATCTCCGGATACTATGATCATTCTATTCCGGTTCCTTCCATTGTCTACTGTTCTCTGCAGGTCTTCATAAAACTGGTCTTTATCTACAGTGGCAGAATCTTCGGTTGGGGCATACACCTGTATCATGGCAACTTTTCCGATGGAGAGCACAATGTCCATAGTGATAATCCTAGATGATATGGATTCCCAGGCTTCTACTCTATCAAATAATTCGTCCTTCAGGACAAAGATGACACCCTCTTTGTCTCTTTGTCCTATATTAACTCCTGAATATATCATACTATACTCCTCTGGGAGTTTTACCAATCCATTCCCTTTCTTCTTCACTTCACTTAGTCCGATGATATCCACCTTATGTCTTTTTATTTCGTCCACCAGTTCTCTCTCCTTACCCGTAAGTGACGTTATATTCCAATTAGCAAAACGTAAGTCCTTTTTCCTGCTGCGTCTATAACCATTTGACTGTCCGGATCCGAGGCTACTTATATTTCTTTGAATCGATTTACTCTAGATGGGTGATTGGCCCGATGCTAGAGGCCCCGTAACCTCGGGACAACTGGCCTCCTGAATATTTGTATCCCCTCAGGAGAAGGGGTGGCCGGGCTATACCCCCCAGCACTGGGTACCTGTTGGTCCACGGGTCTTTATTCGTTGTATTCAGACCACCCCTCCTAGGAGGGATCCCCCATCCACCACCTGGGGGACACGCTCCCTAGAGGGCAGGTTCCGCCGAGAGGCAAATGGGCCCAAATGCCAAATGTTGTTAATTTAAAAATAAGATTTGTTTACCTTGAAATGGCCTAAAAAGATGAAAGATTGATGAAAGAAAAAATTATGATTCAAATGTGTTGTTTTATAATTAGAAACTAGTTGGCCCGTGCAAATAATTCATATAGAATATTGATCAATGAACAAATGACAATATAATATAAAAATAAGTTAAGATATGTATTATGAGAAAGAAGAAATAATATCTTTTACTCTTTCATATCACATTAGTTCATTCAAACCAATAGTCCCAAACATGTGTTCATTACCATAGGCTATATCTTACAATTCTATAAACCTACAACCTTCTGTAAACCTACAATGCAGGTCGAAACGTCAGCAAATCCAATAAAATATTATTATAATATATAGCATTATAAGAAACTTCAAGGAGGGAGCCTTGGCTCCAATTTACAGGATTTTTTTTTATTGCTATGAAAATTCGTATAGATGGTTCTTCGAGGTGTGAAATACAAATCTCAACTTTGTTCCTCCTTAAAAAATTATTTGAACCCACTTTGCTCCAAGGGTCAGTTCAAATTGTTTCTAATTTATAAATTTAAAATTGATTTTCATGATTTTTTTTTTTCGTTTCGTAAGGAATTTAGTAAATTTTCAAATAATCATGGGTCTAATCCAGAAAAAATGTGTACTTTTTAAGTAATTCGCAAAGAAAGTTTCTTTTTGTTCATAACTTTTTTTTCTGAAATTTAGGGTGGATGTTACTACTATTATGATTTGTCGCTACTCCATTTAATACCCTTTCGTTTGATAGAATTCAAAATCCATTGCTCCTGAGAGCCAGGAAAAGGATCGTTACAGCAAAAAACTATCGTATTATATTATAAAGATAGATTATATATTTTCTATTCTTAAAACCTTTCAATTTGTTACTTTCCTACCTATACTAGGTAAGGAAAGTATCACGATCGGGTCAAATTTCCAATATGTGGTTTTCGACGGATCTATACGTTTCAGAGGCCCCTGAGTCCGAAAAACACATTTTTAGCCATTGGTCTATCTGTCTGAAAAACTCTGTTTATCATGTTTTTTTGAAAGGTAATGAAATCACTAAAAAAAAAAAAAAAACATCGGAATCGAGCTAATATTAGCGATGATACAGCATATTTTATTTTCTATACATTTATTACTTTTCTACCTATACTAGGTAAGGAAAGTATTGCAATCGGGTCAAATTTCCGATATGAGGTTTTCAACACCCCTGTTTTTTTTTTGTTTTTTTGAAAGCTGGTGAAATTCTCTACAAAACTATATACAAATTATTCATTTCGGACAGCTATTAATGAAGTTACAGCTATTCAATTTCCAATATAAGATTACAGGTTCATATCCTGGTGTCACAAAGGGATGAATAAGAGAAAAAAATAAGTGAAAGTAAGAAAATCTGTTGCACGCATCACACAAGCTTCACTATTTCCTCTACTTTTAACACAAATTATTGTTTGACAAAATTAGGCTAGGAAAAAAAGTTTTTGATCAGAAATATTAATGAGTATTGAAATTTTTACACTGATCTACCCTAAGCTGGTTTACATTGCTTTAGTTTATCAAATAAATCTTACTCAAATCTTTTTTGTTTCTTGATGGACATATGTAAAGATATAAAAACTTTTCTGAAATAGGTAGGAAAATCATGTGAGTGGACACACCAGATTTTTTTCTTTTAGTCAAGAACTTTTATTATAATATAAAAAAAAAGTTTGATAAGTAGTTAGGTATTTATGAAAAGACTAATATTCATGGATTATTTAACTAATAGTAAAATATTTTTTAGAACACTGGAGTTCCTCTTGATGTTGCAGCACGATTTCAAGTCAATTTGTTGTTAGAACCAACGCCTGACATTGGGTAAGAATCATACAAATATTAAATTTACAATACAGGAATTAATGAAGTCTGTTGCATTTTTTTCTGAATGTTGATTGCTTATATGAATGTTACTTTATTTCATTAATCTCTTTCATTCATAGGTCTCAGTATACTTCCAATATATTCTATTCAACAATAAGTAAAATTACAAATAATATCACGTTTATAAAATAATTAATTTTTTTCAGCTTGTTTGAAGATGTTCCTACTATTTATTTCCCAATGATATGGTTCGAGCAAAAAGTGACAATAAGTGAAGAACTCGCAGCAGAAGTGCGAATGGTATTACTATTACCATTTATAGGCCAATGTTTTTCTTCGTTTCTAGTAATAATTGGGATCGTAATGATTCTGTTCGCTATTTATCTTCGACTACAATGTGTAAGAAAGTAAGTAATTTCTGAATTACTTTGTTTTAATTCACCTTATGTTGTTATTCAAGTAGAAACGTATATTACTATATCTTTCAACCTACAATATCTATGTATAAGATTAAGTCATTTATATCTTAATTGTTAACTCTAATAATATTCTTTTGTGATTGAAATAAGTAGTGAATTCAAGGTCACCAAATGTACACAGTTTTCACATTTCGGCTTCAGGAGCCATATTCAAGATCCTGCTAACTAATTTTAATTCAGTTGTTATACTTCAAACTACATCATTATAAAACACATACTAATTCAATAACAATCAGTTATATAAATAGACCAAATTCTGTTTTATAAATTTTTTTTTTATAACATAGCATTTTGGTTAAAATTAATGGAAAATTTATCATCTACCTACCATGCACCACTTTATAAAATTTCCTAAAATGTATCATTATAATATAATTCGTCGGTTTGTCATTAAAATAGAACGTTAAAATTTTTATGAAAAGAAAACAAAAACAAAAAGAATATTATTTGTTCTCAATTTATGTATTTCTTTCGTGGGCGATATCAAAAGTTTTCCTCCAAACTAATGCATTCATACAGGACTGGATTTATTTTAAAACGGAGTGAGGTGGGGATCTGCTGTTTTATCTGTTCTATTTCAGTATATTATATTTCAATTTTATCTATTGCGCTAGCATAAAAAGTGTTTAGTTTATCTACATCTGTTTGTTGATTCACCGATTGTTTCAGGTTTTTAGTAATAAATATTGGTTCTATTAGTCTTCATTTGTTAATATTCTGTTCTCTATGTAGGACCGACACTAAACCGAAATAAAATGTATGTCCATTTTTTATGGTATGCTGCGATAATTCTGTGACTAATTTTGATTTTGTTGTTTTAGACCTGCAATTCTGTTTATGCTGTTGTATCCTACATTTAAACCATTGTGAGGTTTAATTCATTTTCAGAATCCTCGAATTGTATTTTATATATAATATTATTTAATTTTTCCTTACTAACATTATCCTTAGTTCTACTGTATAAATTTTCTAATTTATTAATTGGTTTATTCCCAAATGTGATTTCGTTTATATCATATTTATTGAATTAAAATGTGTTTTATAATGATGTAGTTTGAAGTGTAACAACTGAATTAAAATTAGTTTGCAGGATCTTGAGAATGGCTTCTGAAGCCGAAACGTCGAATAAATAATACATCATGCGAAAACTTGTACATTTGGTGACCTTTGGTTTAATATTTTATAAAAAAACTTTTAAAACATGGTACCAAACCTAAAATATATGACTAAAAAAACAAAAAACAAAACAAATAATTTAATAATCTATTTTGAGGAGGAGCTGGGGAAGGGGAGAGGGGATTCACCAAACATACTTTACTATTAAATTCAGTAAGAAAAATTACATTAAATATGAACCTTATTAAAATTATGATAAGGGAATATGTGATTTAATCTTGTGAAATTTTTGCTCTGAGAACCAAGCATTTTGTTTCAATAAGCGTTGTCACACTTTAACACACCACACACAAAGACATTTACTACACGAGATAAAAGTCTTGGATGCCAGGGGTTCTTGTAAAGTCTACTTTAGAATGCATTGAATTTTGGGTAATGAAGATAAATCAAACTTTTAATAAAAATACTAAATTTTCAAATAACAATTATAAATCGGGATTAGATAAGTTTTCATAGTATGTGTGCATTTTGATCTAAGGCTAAAAATTATTTTTTGAAAATACTGTGCACAAAACTTGGTTATTTTAGTCAGTAGATAGTAAATTATTAAAAAATTAAAATAGAATTTAAAATTGATCCTGGTAAATAATAAAACTTAGTTTTAATTTTTATATCTTGTCTATGGTTCAGATATAATTTTTTTTTTTTTTTAAAGACCTGAGAAAGATGAAGATATAAAAAGAACAGAAGGAGCTGGAGAACCTCTTATGGGAGTCGAGATTAAAGAAATCATGAATCAGAAAACGTCTTGAACAAATTACCGAATAGATTTAAAAACAAAAAAACTTGTGTTATTTTTTTAATACATGGGTTTCTTTCTGAAGAAAAGACACTATTTTATTAAAGTAATTGTAATTAATTTACTCAATTTGAGTATGCCTTGTAAATATGTATACGATGAAGTGTAAATTTTTAGTATCATTTTAGAAATGATAATTTAGAAATATTATAATTGTGATTTAATAGATTTATAATTATTTATTTTTTAAGATGATTTTTTTTTAATTTGGGTATGAACTGCCAACTACAATATGGTGAATTTATGTTAACCATTTAGGTATAATTTCTGTCAACTATGAAGATGAAATTATATTATCTATGTTGAATTTCTCATTCAGAGGTGGCCAACTTGGATGCTCTAGAGATCTATTTTAATAAAAAAGAAATGGCAACCTAATATTATGTTATTATTTTTACTGGAAAATTCTATATATCATTATTTTTTGTTTGTTTTTTGCTTGAAAATTTCCTGCAAAATAACAATTTATTTAAATTTTTTAAATGAAAAATGGTCTCCATTTCATTCACAATTAATATTTACAAGATTATAAAAAAAAAAAAAAAAAAAAAAAGGATGTAGTATACACTAACAAAATGTGCTAAATAGAAAAACATAAAATGATTCTGTTGTGAAATTCCACATTTTCATATTGTGGCATTCTTCAATAATATTTTTTTAAATAAAATGTTAAACACCACATGGTATCTGTTGAAAGCAGGATAGATTTTTAAAAATTATTTACAGTACTGCTATATTTACTGTCAAAAGAAATCACTATAAAAGTATGTTGAGAACTGATAATGGTAAAATAAATAAATTATTAAAAAAAAAAAGACAAAAAAAAATTGGCATTCTATTATATTCTTAACTTTTAAAATTGAATAATTTATAATTTATTTTAAGAAGTGTTGCTAGTTAAATGACCAAATCATATGACTTTATTTTTATATGTGCTTCCCAAAGGATTAAAAATTTCTTTCTGATTTTTTTAAAAACAAGCTAACCAAAGTTAATGTCGGTCATACATTTTTAGGCGATAAGTACCTCAACGAATTATTAAACTAGGAAATAAGATTATAAAAGGAGAATGTAATGTTTGATTGTTTTATTTATTATAGATTAAGCACTTAAAGAACTCTTAGATTATAATGATAAATAATTAACTATATAAAATAGAATTATGATTTTTTGATTGTACCAAAAACTTGCTCAAACTATTGTTCTATAGGTTGCTATAATGTACCTACAAATTTATGTCCTTACTTACATATTTTAAAAATAATAATTAAAAAAGATATAAATTATGTAAAGATTACATCTACTTATACAACTGTAATTATTTTTCTAAACCAAAGTCTGAAAAATAATTTTTATAATAAATATGCTGCATAAACTTTTTACTGGTATTTTATTTTGTATCATCATCCAATTTTATTTTAGAGAATTAGTTTTAAGAAACTCTACATCTTGTCATTGCAAAAACAGCACTTATTGAAAAATTTTGAGAGGTTAATTTATTCCATTTGCAGTAGCCAAAAAAAGTATTTGTTTACCAAATGTTTTAGGAAAAAGTATTTTTATTTAAGTTTTCAACATAATGTAACTATAGATAACAATTAGAAACTTCATTTTGCATTGACTTTACAAAACAGTAAAATTATATCACTCATGTTGTATGAAAAATATTAAAACCTTCAAATATGAAAAAAAAAAATTTGTTCATTTAACTAACCCAAAGAAAATATAATAAATGTCAGTCTCAATTAATTTTAATAATTTGTTAGATACCCTTTCGCGTTTATAACAGTATTGCGTCTCCTTGGCATCAGAATCTGAGGCCAGAGCCAGAGAATCAGAGTTTCAGGTCCAAATTTCTTCCAAAGTTTTTTAAAGATTGTTTATTAAGTCATTCCAAGAGGAACAAGAATATTTTCGGATTTTTAATTCCAGCAGCGACCATACATTTTCAATTGTATGGTTCAAGATTCGGTGATTGTGGGGGTGTTTTGAGAATTTTCCAAAAATTACACAGCAACCATTGTTTGGTTTTATGGCCGTGTGCTTGGAATCATTTTTTTCCTGAAATATATATTTATTCTCCATTACTAACTTTCACTGTAGTATGAGATACTCTGAACTTTTTTCCAGTATACCACAAACTTAAACCCTGTTGAAAATTTTTTAATCATCTTTAAGATGAGAATTCAATTAATTGGACCTATGACCCATTGCTGAAGCAATATTTTTTAGTATTTAACTAAACAAGAAATTTCTCATGCAATTTTATACTTTGATCTTCTGGATTAAGGGGTTATAAATAAAACGTTAGAACACTGTTTTAATAACATAAATGATTGTGTCATTAACATTTGCTCTAGTGTACGAATATTTTTTTTGTGTACAAATTATTGAAATATTAATTTTATAAAAGTTATAAGAGATATAAGGCATTACATCAAATTAATGCAAAAGAAAGTTTGTAATTGATATCTGCCCTTGTTTCAAGTTAAAAAAATTTATAGTGAACGATTTTGGCCAAAACGCGGGATGTACAAATATGTTTTTGCCCACTGTAATTATTTATATATTTTTTAAATGTAATCATTATGGTTGATGGATTATTAGTTATAATTCAAATTTTTTTGGCTTTATCTTCAAGCGAATGGATATACTCAGTATTATTTTATTGACCTATATCATTTTTACTCAAAGATGAATTCACTAAAAAGAAACAAAATATAACTTGATTCCAATCTCACAAAAAAATTACTTTACTCAAACTTCACAGAATTTTGTACATTAAACAAATTTTATTTTACCTTATTTGGCATTTATAACTCAAATCTTCTTTATTTATTATTATTTTACAATTTTAGAAACAAATTATTTTATGTTTGAAACTTAATGGATTTAATCGAAAATTTACATAAAATATAATTGTATATTTGGGTGTTTTTATTTATATATCGAATATATTTTGACATATTTTACAACATTTTTTAAAGTTTTATGATATAAAAGAAAAAAGCAATTTTTCTCAATTGTTGTTGTTTTGGGTTTTCGATTGTTTAATTAATTAACATTATCACAATTTAATAAATGATTCTAAATTATCATTATTAAATGATTTTAAGGGCTATCTATTTCTATAATTGTTATTATTATAAATCAAAAGCAATCAGTAATATTATTAACATTGTTTGTTTTAAGTGGTTAGCCCCTTACAAACAGAGTTGGTTTCAATTCAACGAATAATTTACAAAGTAATTATTCAAAAGCTATAAATAATTATAAACAAAATAAATTTAATTCTGTCTGGATATAAATACAAGTCAAAATAAATAAATGAAAATGAAAATTTCATTTGTACAAAAAGAGAACATCTACCTACACTATTAAGCAATAAACAATTTTCTTATTTCAAACAGATAAATAAAAGATAAAAGTAGGAATATAACTTCTTGCTAATAAACATTACAAATACATGTTAACACAGTAAAATATACTGGGAAAAGAAAGTTTACGCTGTAATTTTATTATTGATTGAAGTAGTTTATATGAATCTAAACTGATTAATTGGTCATAATAAAGGCTCTAATGCCAAATATTTTGTCCAAACAATTATAAATACTTCTTAGTATATTTATATAAATATTTTAGGAATGATTATTATTCAGTATTCTTGCGAAAATTTCATTTATTTACTACATGTTTTGTACAATGTAGCACATACATGTATCATAAAATTTACATTTAGTATTTAATTACATTTTATCAACAGTGATATTATATGAAATCATGATGAAACAAGTCATATTATGAAACGAACAATAAAATTAACGTAAGATAAAACAACAGTCAAATTTTAATACAACGATATGTACCTATATAATAATGTGGATACCAATTTACAAAAATTAGTTATTTAAGATAGAAATATTCCGATAACAGTGATGACGATAATTCAGTTAGTTGGGTTCTATTATATCGGATAATATTGGGTAGATAATTTCAATTATTAATAAGTAACTATACGGTACAATTACATCCAAAAAATGGATAACTGTTTTAAAAATAAACTATTTTATATTAAGAAAGAAAAAAAATAATGTCAAAGTCTCATGCCCGATCAAAACACCACTGTCATTTGAATAAGAACTGGGCCATCAAGGTCACAAAGATAACTTCCTTTTTAGATACAGCCATTAGTTTAACGCCCTTCCTGTTTTTAGCAGACGGTTTCGAAAAGATAAATTGTTTCGAAAGATTATTTTTGTTTCTGATAAGTCATCATATATCTATTTTTTAAAAAACATATTATGAAATATTTTAAAAACGTAACAACATCATATAAAATAAGATAATAATAAATAATATAAGATAAATAATAATAATAATAATAAATAAGATTGGATTTTGTCCGCTTATATTACATTTGTGTTTGTTTAATTAATTATTTTTTAATTGCCATCAAACACGGTAGATAAAAGTTTTCGATTCAGAATTTTTAACTTTTTTTTTTTTTAATTTTTGAATGAACACATCCATCTTAATTAATGAAACTATAGTAGTGATAATGAACTCATCAATCAATGATCAGTCAATTTAAATAGAAACTTTAATTATTTCTTACATAATAATAGTTTGCTACTAAATAAACAGTTTCGTATCGAGTTGATGTTAAATAATATGCCAGACCTTGTGATCATTGAACGCGACATGACCACCCCACTCCAGTGTTGGTCTCTCTTCACTAGTACATGCTGCTATCTATACTTAGCCACTTCTCTTACCTGTTCAGAACCACTTCAGTGCTCAATCGGTAACTAGTGAAACATTACTTCGAGTAATGATTTGTGTAAATAAATTTTTACTGGATATAGGAGGCTTGATTCTATTTTCCAGCATATTTCGTGAGTAAATTTTTTTCTATATTACATTTTTTAATATTATGATATTCAATTAGGAGAACAGTAATATTTTTAATTAATGTATTTGATTTGTATATAGTCGATTTAGTAACAAATTTGACAAAATAATGCCAAAATCTGTTGGTTAAAGAACTAAAAAAAAAAAATTAAAAATATTAAATTGAGCAAGAAAAAGAATATTGAGGAATTAAATTAAATTAATTTAATTGTTAAATGATATTTTTTAAGACGTTAAATTCATAATGATAAACATCCCTGTTGGGTGCGAGAAAAAAACATTTTTATTTATATATAATAAATATACACTTAATATCAGTATGAAAAATCTGGTTATAACATAAAAAAGAACATAAATAAGACGAATATCTCTCCACTGTCAATAAAACTACTTTATGGTCAGTTGGATCAATATATTAAATAAAATAACATAATGTTTGATGAATCATAATTTAAAAAAAAAACTTCAATAACAGAAATAAAAGTGTATTTTAAAAATACTTTATACTTAATTAGGCTAAGTTATTAAAATATGATTTTCTTTAAAAAAAAAAGATAAAAAAGTAAATTACATTTTTTTAATCAATCTAGAACCATGATAATACAATATTGTAATTAGAAATAATTCATATTTAATAAAAATATAGGATTTTTTAAAAATGTACTGTTGTCATAGAACTAAGTAATATTTGAAATTAAGCTATTATTTTTATTATACTCCTTTGTTCATGAAAAATTGTACCAATATATTAGAAAAGGACAAACAAATTATTTAATAAGAAATGGAACTAGGATATTTGACAGGGAGACAAGCTTAACTTTGACATCTCTTCTTTCACCTCCTCTAAACTAAAGTCAACATTTTTAAAACTCTAAGTAGATAATATATTTAAAAATAACTATCATTCTCTAATAATATTAACTCATTCATTTGACTTAATTAAATTAAATTTAAAAAAATTAAAGCCAGAACAATAAAAAATATAGCACAAATCTATTTTACTTAATTGAAAATAAAATTTCCCTCCTTTGTAACCACTGTTGTTCTACTCTTGTTTAACAAGAGACATGGATTAATTCTTACAATCGATAATATTCTTTATTTCATTTAAATATCTTGAAAGTTTGTAAAAGTACTTGATACAAAAAAAATATATTATTTCAATAAAATTAACTGTCATCCCCTAGTGCATCTTTAAGTTCTTTTCTTCTTTTTTAGATTTGATTTGCTTTCCTGAATTACAAATTGGTGAATATAATTGTTTCACAGAGTTCAGGGCATAAACAATTTTAGTCACCAAAACCCGATGTGCTTACAATATACAACGTACAGAAGGAAGAAATAAAAGAGAAAAAAACAACATAGAAAAATTAAAATAACATTATAATATCTTATCTTCAATATTAAAAATTTAATGACTGCATATATATATATATATATATATATATATATATATATATATATATATATATATATATATATATATATATATATATATATATATATATATATATATATACACATATTTGTTGAAGACAGGTTGAAAGCCTGTTTATAAGGTATAAAACTTGATGAGTGGAGTTCAAAATTTAAAAATAATAAAATATCTGAAGACAAAATATTATTTTCCTATATTTTTCAATTAATTGATTAGTTATATTATGGGATCTACTTCTGGGGGTAACAATAAGAAAATCTGATTTCAAAACATTTATAAATTGATAAATTAGTAATTAAATTATAAAC